GGGCTTTCGGAGGTAATTTCTTTGCGACTAGGTCGCTTGCCCGTTTCTATGGCCGAAATTATTTTGCCCAGAATGGGATCCCCTCGTTGTTCCGTCGACCAATCTTCACCCGACTCAAACTGCAGTAGTCGGACATCAACGATATTCTCTTTATTCTCAGCCTTTGAGCAATGCCTGCATTCTACCTTGCATGGCCGACGAGACAGGGCATCAGCATTACCGTGTTTCCCGCCTTTTCTGTGCTCGATTCTGAAGTCATAACTCTGGAGCCTCTCGATCCAACGGGCTAGTTGACCTTCCGGATTCTTAAACTGCAGCAACCATTGGAGAGCAGCGTGGTCGGTCCTCAGCAGGAAATGCTGGCCATATAGGTATTTGTGGTAGTGTTTAACGCTCTCAAGGACAGCAAGCAGCTCTCTCCTCGTCACACAGTAATTCCTCTCAGGCTTCGACAATGTCCGGCTGTAGTACCCGATGACTTTTTCCTGTCCGTCGATTTCCTGGGAAAGGACGCCACCGATGCCGCACGCACTTGCGTCTGTGTCCAGAACAAACTTGGCGCCAGGTATAGGGTATGCCAAATGGGGGCTCTGCAAAACAGGTCTTTGAGCATTCTGAATGCCTCTTCTTGGTCGTTGCCCCACTGAAACCTCTGGCCTTTTTGCGTCAAGCGGTGTAGACAGGCGGCGATGTTGGCAAAATTTGGGACAAATCGACGGTAGTAGGTGCAGAGACCCAGAAAGCTTCGCAGCTCATGGAGATTTCGGGGCTGCGGCCAATCTCTGACGGCTTGAATTTTCTCCTTATCCGTCGATATGCCCTCCGGCGTCACGTGGTGCCCCAGGAACTTCACCTCTCGTTGGAAGAGACTGCACTTCTTTGGGTTCAGCTTGAGGCCTGAAGACGAAAGCTGCTGTAGAACATCCCTTAAGTTCTTGATGTGTTCGCCGAAGTTGCGTCCCATGACTGTGATCTCATCCAGGTATATGAGGCACGACTTCCACTGCAGCCCTTTTAACACACTCTCCATCAGCCTTTCAAATGTAGCCGGGGCGTTGCAGAGTCCGAATGGCATGACATTGAACTGCCAGAGACCCCCATTAACGCCAAACGCTGTTTTCTCTTTATCTTGCCAGTACCCACTCTGCAGGTCGAAGGTGGAGAACCATGACGTCCCGGCTAATGTGTCCAATGTGTCGTCGATTCTTGGGAGCGGATAGCTGTCTTTCTTGGTGACATCATTCAACTTTCGGTAGTCCACACAAAATCGGGTGCTTCCGTCTTTCTTCTTGACCAAGACCACTGGGGAGCACCATGGACTTGACGATGGTTCTATTACACCACTCTTTTCCATTTCACTTATCTGCTTCTGGACCTCGTCTTTTTTGCCAGGGGAACACTTCTTGGAGGCTGTTTAATGGGTCTCGCGTCTGCTGTATGGATTTCATGCTTCACCACTGATGTTCTTCTTCACCACTGATGTTCTCTTTTGTCAACGCAAAGGTAGAGGCATATTTCCATAATAGCTGCTTAGCCTTGTTCCTCTCGGAAGGTGATAATTGGTGTGTCCACTCTTTTATGTAGCCGTCGAGGTGCTTCTTCTCCATGGCTGCTGGCTTTTCGATGCTAGTTTCCAAATTAATTACAGCTTCAGATGGTGTGCATTGTCCAACATCGGAAAATTGGCAAATTTGCTCTTGCTTGTTTGACAGATTGTTACTGTTTATGTTTTCTGCTCATGGCGTCCTTGATCGAGTTAACGAGATCGAGTTAACGAGAGATTTGGGTTCGCAACATTCGGTCTCCAGTTGGCGAATCTTGTAGGTCTGGGGCTTAACCATTATTCTTGCCGTCTCTTGGGCAAGAGTAAACGAAACGGTCTCGGCAAATGACGCTTTTGGTGACGCTTATGTTGCACATTTAATCTCAGGGTCACGTATGCCATTCACAAAAGTTTCGATTTTCATACGGTCCAGCAATGGGTGATTCTCTCCTGGATACGTCATTAGCACCAAACGTTCCACCTCAGCTGCAAAGTCTTGTAACGTCTCGTTTGCCCTCTGTACTCTTCCCCTTAATTCCATAAGGTAGATGTTTTGTTTATGTTCGCCACCGTACTTACGTTCCAGTGCAGCAATAACATCTTCATAGTTGTTTCTAGAAGCGACAGGAATACTCTGTATAACATCAGCAGCACTGCCCTTCAATGCCAGAAGTAGTGCAACCGCTTTGCCGCTGTCGTTCCACGAATTTCTAGAAGCCACTGTCTCGAACTGTAACATGAAAACATTGAATGACGTAGAGCCGTCGAATACAGGAGGTTTGATTTTTAGTGTGTTATCAGGAACTCGCACCGGACCATCTTTAATTTCCAGTTCCGGCATTTTCTTCTCCAGATTCGTAAACCTGTGGTCGTGGACCAGAAATTTCTCATCAACCGACTGCACTTTCTTATTCAACTCTTTCATTTGGACCTCCACGGTTTCCACTCTCCTTCCAATAACTTCTGTATGTACTCGAGTTTCTCGTTCGTTATTCTCGAATTCTCTTCGAACATTCGTCTCGAGTTTTCTTCTAACTTTCTGGAATTCTCTTCGAACATTCGTCTCGTGTTTTCTTCTAGCTTTCTGGAATTCTCTTCCCTCCTTCTGAAATTTTCCTCAAACATTTTGGCCAGCATTTCTCTGAAATCGTCACCCCTGGCAGCTACTGACGAGACTTCCCCACCGTTGGATTCGCCCATTTCCGATAAATCCACTTCATCCTTACTGTCAAACTCATATGTATCGATGTTCATACCACGGCGCTCGAACTCATCCAACAGACTTTTTTGTAGTTCAGCCTTGTTGCCAGTAGAGGACAATTCCAATTAATTTAGCACCTTCTTCAAGTCTTCCACTCGTAGATCCTTAAATTTCATCGTAGTATTGTCGTAATCTCACTTCCGACACCAATTGTTACGTTCTTAGATTTTACTTACTTACTCGTACTAAATAAAACGCGGGTTCTTTCTGATTACAAATATTACAATGATTTTATTGACAGAACTTTACTTTGCACTTTACTTTACTTGACGGTTTCAATTCGCGATCTGATTCGCAACTAAATAACTGCCTTGACATTTCCTCTATTTATATAAGCCTTGCCTGTCGCTACAGAAGTTTCTAGACGATCTGGTAACACCTAGATTACGAACAATTTACCAATGCAACAAACACATACAAACTTACATTGAGTGAACAATAACAACAACACATATGGTCTGTTCCCGTACTGCAAGAATCTACTCAATTTTACTATTTTCTTCGATATCATAAAGGAAAAGTGTTATCGGAGTAAAAAATAGTAGATTCTTGCAGTACGGGAACAGACCAATATACAGGCGAGGGAGTAACAATGAAAGAGGAATTAAGCGATCATCAATGATGACGTTAACAAGAATTGTACGTCAATAAAAAAAATAGAAAATGAAAGAGGAAATGGAAGGATGTAGAAAAATCTATACAGTAGTTGTTGTTGTGAAGTTATTCGAATAAACTGCGTAGTAGAAATTTACGTTACAATTCAAATTTTTTAAATTAACGGAATTCATCTAGATTAACTTAAATCTAAAGTTATATTCGTAACAATATATATATATATATATATCTTTGTAACCAGGGTCCTCAGGGCTATATGTGGTAAATATTTCATAACAATCCTCGACCGGACCCTAAACTAGACTTGTTCCCAATATTGGCCAACATTCCTAGAAATTCGCTCATGTGCTGCATTTCGAGTTTGCTCGAATGTGAAACATTTTCCCAAATTTGGTGTGCTCCATTCCGAATTCCCAAAAAAATATTGGGAATATAATTCGAGCACATATAGCCTTGTGGATTGAAAACGAAATGAGATCGTACGTGTTTTTCTGAGCACGTACAAGTTGAAAAAGAACGCTGAAGTAATATTTAACGTGTTCTTACAATATTTATTTAAAAAATACAGTATTTACATTAGTTTTTATAGTAAAATTAAAGAAAATAAAAAAGGGCTCCTCCTGGTCTGCAGCTGTCCACAGCTTGCACACACTTTGTCTTCCAGGACTTTCATTACTCTCCACAATATTTTACACATTGTTGTGCGAACACTGATTTTTAAATCATTTGCCACTACCCTCTGAAATCCACCAACAGCCAGGAATCTTAAGGTAGCTGCTAACTGCAGGCTTTCAGGAATGGTACCCTTGTGTATGAAAGGACCAACTCCTCTCAAAATATTCATAAATGCTTATTTTAACACGTTCCAGTATCATTAGACTTTTTCTGGTAGAAACCAGGGCAATTAATAAGCCAGCAGGCATATTTTTTCTTACTTTTGTTGTTAAACAAATTGCAAATTCCAATGAAACATAAGTTTTTTATTGAACACATTCCGTAACATATTGAACACAGCTATGCTTTCGAGCCGCACTTTCGCTCGAAATTGAGCACACCATTATGCACAACATAGGAATTTAAAAAAGTATGGGAATTCAAAAACTCTCGGAACATGTCACATGGGCGATTATAGTAATATATAAATTTACTGAATCCCATATAATATAGAATTTCGAAAAATAATATATCAATATTTGTTGTTTTATTGTGTTATAAAAAGGCTATAAAAATATTTGAACATTAAATAAACTGAAAGAAAAAATTCTATAGACAATTTAACAAGTGAAAATAAATTATAAGAAAAACAAAATACAATGCGAAACCGGACATTGCAAATTTTATATTTATAAAAAAAAATTTGTTGGATTGTTTGCAAATGTAGTTATTTGAAACCATGCATTAGTCGATAACATTAAATGAGTTGTACTACAACATATACTACATATTCATTCATTTAAATTTGGCATAAAATGAGTAAGCCAGCTCTGAAGTAGTGTTTCCTGGCTTAGTAAATGACATTTAATATTAAAAGCAAAACTACGAATGCTTAAAAATATATTTCATATGAAAAAGTGAAGAATTTTATTGATTGCTGATTCCGCTGGTATTTGCAAGGGATGTGTTAAGTATACGATTACGTTTAGCCTTGGCCATTTTACACTGATTGACAGTGGCAGCAAATCGCAGTGATTTCAGTGATTCAACAAAACAATCTTGCAGTGGAGCAACATTGATAAACATTAGTGTCTTGGAGTTACCGCCCAAAGAAGGCATTAATAGATGAGTTAACTTCGAGTTTCGGTAAGGGATGTGATCTTGTTTCTGCAATAGTGCCAATATTACATTTGTCAGCTCTGACAGCGATCTATTTATGTTCTTGGTTTCGTTCATACGAGTACTTGTTTTGGGTGACTCTGAGCCTGCCAAATCCACCAGATTTATTGAACCAATAGAAATTTCTTGTTTTTCGGCATGTGCACCTATAAGTTCGATTTTTGTCACCGCGTGTGATCTTGATGATCGTTCATTGCCGACGGTCGCTGCTGTTGCACGATTCATCTTGGCGATTTGCATTAGTTCGCGGAGACGTCCTGCGCTCTCCACCGTCTCCTGCGTTATATTTGATACGTAGATGTCGTTCTTGCTATTCTTTACCATTCGAATTTCCATATCCTTCTGTTCATTGCTCAATAGATCGTAGAGGACTTCATTGTATATTTCCAAAAATGTCACTTTAATTTCATATTCCCAGCCTAAGTGTCGATAGTTCTTGATAGAATCAAATAGTAAGTCCACGGTTCTCGGTATAACTCCAGGGTTTGATGGGATACCATCCATTGTGTACGTTTTTCCACTACCCGTCTGTCCATATGCAAAAATACAAATGTTGTATCCGTCCAGAGCGGACTGTATTAAGGGCGAGACCATTTCAAATATCGATTCTTGGCCCGAAGAGGGATGGAATACTTGGTCAAATGTAAACGTATGTGCATTTGGTTTTCCCTTCGATGTCGGTTCGAAACTGGCAATTTCAACAGTTGCTTCGTCCAAATAACTCCAATTACACAGCATTTTGTCCCTTTCACAGTCCAGTGGTGGACGGACACGGCAAAATACGCGTATATTACCACGTAAATCCAACACGGTGTTGTGCAATTCTTTTCGTTCCATGTTTGAACGGAATAACTGTTCTTTGCATATTGCTATTTCATCCATAAGATTGGCGTTTTTGTCGGCCAAAGTGGAGGTTCTCTCACGCAGCTCATTTACTTCGGAAATTAGTTCAGCATGTTCTTGTTTTATTTCCTAATAGAAAGAAATAGTTGGTCATATGGCGTCAACTAAGAACTGATTTAATTAATTTTAATTACTTACAGTATATGCTTTTGTTAGATTATTCAGTTCTACCGTTGTTCTACTCAGGTTTTCCACAGTGTTGTTGTATTTTTCTTGCAGCAACTTCGTCTCGCGTTTTAGGCATTCATTCATCGTTTGGGTATTTTTAAGTTCTTCTTTTGTAGTTATTAACTGTTTTTCTGTATCCTCTAGTACCTCTGGTAAGTTCTCCAGACTGTTAAGCTGTTCTGTCTTTTCTTCCAGTTTATCTTTAAGGATTTTGTGTTTCTCTAAAAGGTCATTAAACCGTGCCTTAAAGTCATATGCAGGAATACGTTTGCTTGCAGTTTTGGCCGCAGACGCCGATGTGTTTGCGCTCGTATTACTTGAGCCCTTTGTATTATTCAATGCTGTTCGACCTCCTCCGTTAACTTTAGATGTATTGGCAGTTGGCGGCTTTTTTGTAGTTGTACTGCTTGTTGCAGTAGTGGACATTCCAATGCGCGGCGGTCTGTTAGTATTAGCCCCCACTGTCCCAATTGTAGCTGTGGAGGACAACAGTCGGGAAGTTTTTGCTGGAATTGGGGCCAACGTCGATTCTGTCCGTTTTAAGGGTCGCATATCTCGGATATCGCAAGCAGAACGGCTCCGTCTCATTTTTGCGCGTGACGCTCCATAATTCGAGTGTGCAGCTTCGGGAGATGCTGCTCGTTCTAAACGTTAATAAAATAATGCAATTATTCAAAACGGCATGCAGCATTTAGCACGTTGTCCTTACCTCTGCGTGCAGTATTTTCATAATTCTGAAAGTTGGTAATATCGCGTGGATGTTGATTAAAAGTGTTCAGAGACTGAGAGCTCCCGCTGAACAAATGTGTTTTGTTCCCAAAACTTCCAGTAAATGATGCCGTTTTTATCCTATCCGTTGGCAGTATGGTCCTTGCGACAGGCGCTGGTCTTTTTAGGGCAGACGGTTTTGGTAACTTTGATTCCATTCTAGCTTCAGTTTATCGCACTCATCAACTATTATTTATTTGAATGTTGTTATTTGTGTCTTTTTGTATATTTAAACAAAAACTTATATCTCAAATTACTTCCTGAGCAATTTCTGTTTTTTGTCGAGTTTATTTTCTTTACAGTGAACAAATGCGCGCCGTTATTTCGATTGCATTATTTGAACTATCATGACGCCGTGAATATCGGCTATTGTTGAAATACCCCCAAATGTTAGAATCGGGTATTTGAGTAACCGACTACTGGATGGTTCGTATTTAAAGAGATGCTACCAAGCGTTTACAAACGACAAAGAAATTGTTCTGGTGACATTAAGTATATTTACATTGGTGGTGGCGCTGTTAATACTCGACCATCGGGAGGCGGGCCAAAAACTTAAAAAAAAAGTATATTTACATCTTTGATTTTAATCCGAAAAATACACCCTAAAAACACATTTACTTAAAGCGGATTTACATATAATATTTGACACGATTAAAGGCCGTTTATTTTTTTAATCACTCTGAATGTACCATAATTTCTCACACAATTTTAAAACATCGTGAGGCAGGGTTTATTTTAAATCATGATACTAATTAGATGCAACGCGGTTTTTGTACGAAAAAAAGCAACACTCTCACAGTGTCATATTTACATATAAACGAAATCTTTCGATGTATTGTAAAGAATTCTTAATATAATAATAATAATTCCAAACCCATGGTACAATTATAAAAGGTAACAGCAAATCCCAGCAGATTTGATTCCAACTTAATACTAGTGTCAATATGAATTTGACAAATTATGTTTTTAAAAATCACCCAACAGGGAAATTGGAAACGCATACAATTTGTAATTGTTCTTTATTAAATGTGCTCCCGTATTCAACTAACTCAATCTGCCTGCTGTTAAAGTTTGAGTAAGCAAATCTTTCTTCAAGGAACAACTCGCTGTTCCCAGCATTTTCATATCTATTACACATATATATGGCAATGGCTCAATTATAGGAAAGATGTGGAAGCGATAGAAATATAAATTTGATAGATTTTCATTCATGTTTTTCAATTTTTATTTTGAGGATTCGAAATTTTTCATTTTCAAAATAAAAATAATTTGATGATAATTTGTTTGTTTGTTTACATGTTCCTGTCAAATGAGTTGACACTAGTAGAACTTACAACAACAAATTGTCATGTGGTTGTTGTATCGTTTTTTGTACAACAACACTTGCTGTTACCTTCTATTATTATACCATGTTCCAAGCCCATATAGTGAAAAATAATAACATTGCTTTTGACAACATTCAGCTTTTAAAAGTCAAATGAGAATCTACACAAAAATAAAATAAAAATAAGTTGTAATTCAAATAGCATGGCCTAATTATACCAGGTAATCGCATGCAGACATATGATTCCAATTTTTTATATATTTACTTTAGACATTACTCAGCATTCAAAATTTAAATGAAAATACCTTCCTTCGAAATATACGCACATGACGTGTTCAGTGGCAAAAGTTAATAAATTAGTTATATTGATTAATTAATATTTTGAAGTTCCCTGCCTCTGAAATCTATAAATTTAAGTTGTAACACCCATAGTTACGACTTGAGAACAATAATTACATTTGTTGAAAATATGCCAATCGACATACATAATTTATTTTCCGTTTTATTAGTCTGCTTTTCCACAGGCAAATTTTTATTTGGCAAATACTGAGTTTGTAGGCGAGAGGGGTGCGAGGAAGAAAAACAAAAATTTGCCTGTTCAGAATTTGCCGTACACGCAAATTCTGCTTTGCTCTGTTCGTTGAAAACAATTTTGTTGATATTTCCTTTTGAACCTATTCGCTTTACTGACACACAGCCGGCTTTTGTTTACATACCTGTTGCTTTAATTTGTGCAAGTGAAATTTAATTTTTAATTTTTGCAATTTATATAATAAAATATTTAAAAAAAACCTTTAAAATGTAAACACTTTTGACTTTTATTTTCTTTCTTTTGTATTTTGATTCGCAAATTTGGCAAAGAAAAATTTGCTAATGGAAAAGCAAGCGAAAATTTCAAAAGAGAAAACAAAAAATTTGCAAAATAAAAATCTGCCTGTGGAAAAGCAGACTAAAGGGCTAAACAGAATGTTCGCGTTGAGTGTTTTTTGGCTCAACGCGAGCATTCTGCTTAGCCCTCGACGTATTTGGGTAATACAGCCGTGGAAAATATTTTGCAATAGAGGGGAAGTTGATTATTTGTGTACGCCTTGGAATTTAGATAACGTTGTTAAGCATAAATTTATTTACGAATAATAAAAAAATCTACTTTTTTTATTGGTACATTCACTAAAGGTACGAATTTAACCTTTTGTGAACGTAAAGTACGATTGTTACAAAATTAAAAATATCGCAACTCTAGTTACTTTCGATTTACCAATGAGAAAGAAAAAAACTCTCATGATTCGTGTCCATAATTCGTAATGTAAAGTAGGGCTTTGAATTCCTTCTTTATCGACAATTTTTTCTTCTTGGAACGCTTTTTATTAGTTATTAGTCACTGAGAAGGCATAGTGGACATAGTGCGACAGTACGACCAATAAGCAGGATCAAATCGGATTGGCTAAAATGGCAAATAATCAGGTACAACTGCTAAGGAATACATATGACGTCATCCAGCGAACTGGTGATAGCTTGCAACGATCTAATCAAATTGCATATGAAACCGAACAGATTGGAACTGAGGTATTTGAGGAGTCAATGATTGGAGAGTTCTACATATAACAAAATGTTTATGTTTAGGTTCTTTCAGAGTTGGGCGAGCAACGCGAATCACTTCTGCGTTCTTCTCGTCGCCTTGAAAGCACGGATGACAATCTTTCACAATCACGCAAAATCATACGGAAACTTCAACGGGAAGTTCTCTATAATAAAATAATTTTGATATTGGTGATCATTTTGGAAATATCAATACTTATAGGATTAGTCGTAATTAAGTTCATTAGGAAATAATTTACTTATAAATTGTTGAAGTTTTTAAATAGTATGGAGTCGTTTTTCTTTTTAGAAGAGTAGGTCATTCCAAAACTTTTAGCTATTTAAGAAATGCATAATAAATTAATTTTATCTATATTTTTTAATACCTTGTATTTGTTTACCAAATACGATGTAAGCATATAAACATGCCGACGGGGCGTACATTATTCAAATGATCTACCCATACAACAACATCGTCATCACAGCAACGCTGTGCCGAGCAATCAGCTTCCGTCTGTAAGTCATCTTTACCCTAAATTTACAATAAAATCAACAGAGGAATGTATTCCATTAACCAAAAATAGAAACAATCCATATGCCTTTTGCATAACTTCCCATATAATACTTCCAGCAGTGTTGATGGAGGAAGCCATCAGACGCATAATCATTGTCTGGGACAACGTTTGCTTATAATAGAATGTTATTTTTGTTTAGCTTCGTCCAACATAGTGGTCGTCATTAGTAATTCAATATATATAGGTATGTCTCCGGAATTTCGGTATTATTAGATGTACCATGTCAAGAAATTATTAAAGTTAAATTCTTTTACTGCGTTTTTTAATCATTCAAAATGAATAAAAAATACTATGGATACATTGGTACTTTTATGGATGCTTTATCATTTATTTAAATTTATATTTATTTAAATTGTTACATGAAAAGTTCTTGATGAAAACATAATAAGTCAACACTTTCTACTAGATTGGAAATAAAATTAATTTTTGATTGCAATTAGGGCGCTCAAAAATTGTTGAACCGGTTAGAATGTTGGGCATGTCAATCTCACAAAGACAATTATATTAAAATTATATATTTTTACAAGGTTCTTCTTCGTAATTGTAAAGAACATAGAGGAGAATACTTTAGAATTTAAAATCATTAAAAAATAATTGTAATTATGATATTTTTATCGATACCGCCCTTAGGAACAAACATTTTTAAGGTTTTCCTCGGCATATTTGTGACGGCGATTTGTGACATTAATCTCCAACAAATAAATAATATAGTAAATAATCATGAGAAAATCCTTGACCTAGTCTTCGTAAATCATACACCATATTTTGAATTAGTTAGAATACCTCCTATTTGTATTCCTGAAGATAATTATCTCCCAACTTTATGTATATCCATGATACATGATTATTTAAGAAGAAGTCTTATATAATACCCTTACAGAAGTCTGGTAGTCTAACAAATGTCTCGAATTATAGAGGAATTGCAAAATTAAGTGCTATTCCAAAATTGTCCGAAAGGTTTATTACTACCGTAATTTCACACAGAATTCAACCCTTGTTAAGTCCATATCAACATGGTTTTCGTAGTGGTCTTTCAACTATTACCAATCTTATACACTTTACTTCTACTGTGATAAAGGGATTTGTTCAACGTAAACAAACTGATACAATTTATACAGACTTTAGTAAAGCTTTTGATAGGGTTAACCATGAACTTCTACTTTATAAATTAAATCATATTGGCTTTAGTATAAATTTGGTAAATTGGATTTCATCTTACTTATAAAATAGTACACAGCTAGTATTGTTTGTGGGATGTTTTTCAAAATCGATCAATGTTCCATCAGGTGTTCTGCAAGGAAGTCACCTAGGCCCGATTCTGTTTCTATTGTTTGTAAATGATTTGCCAATTTCTGTATCGCATTCCAAATTGTTAATGTATGCAGATGATGTCAAGTTGTTCATTACCTATCATACTGAAAAGCAAGCTGATTTACTCCAGCAGGATTTAAATAGCCTATTTCAATGGTGCAGCCTAAATTGTATGGACTTGAATTTAAATAAATGTAAACATATGTGTTTTTATAGAAATTCTTCTTCGATAAGACATCACTATATTTATGGTTCGGTTTTATCAACTGTAGATTCTTTCCTTGATCTTGGTATTCTAATGGATCCAAAATTAAATTTTAACAATCATGTTATATCTATGGTAAATAAAGCCTATGGTGTCTTAGGGTGGTCCAAAGAATTCTCGGATCCATATGTAACGAAACAACTATTTACGTCTCTTGTAAGACCTATTTTAGAATAAGGTTCTGTTGTATGGGATCCCCAATACGCAATATATTCTGATAAAATAGAATCCGTTTTTTAACCTCTGAAATGCCTTATTTAGCCATGCCAGGAATTGGATAACTGGTTCCCAAAGTCGGCACCATGTTTTATAATTGTAATATTTTAATAAATTATATTTTTATAATTTTTCAATACAACACTGATGGAAACGTTCCATAGCAATAATTTATTATTGCAAATAGCAGAAAATCGATAAAATATATATTTTTTGTTTAACTAAAATGCGACATGCCGACTATTGGAACATAACATGCCGACAATTGGAAAAAAGTGCCGACTATTGGCACATAGGCGCTTTTTTACACAATTATTAATTTAATCTACTTTAATACAAATTAATTAAACAAATTTGTATTCCATCGGGAAGTGAACAAAATTTCGAAATAGATGAACCTGAATACGGTATCGTGGAAAAGATGCACTTGGAATGGTGAAACGTTTAAAAAGCGAAAATTCTTAAAGTGCCGACTATTGATGCACTTACCCTATATGTTCACTTTTGTTTTATTCCATTGTTTAAAGAAAAAGAACAAGAAGGTGCCAAAATAGATCATTGGTGATGCCATATTTACATATATTTTATGTGAAGTCATTCATGATCAGAGGATCCAATTCGCGAGAAAAATATTTCTTTAACGATCCAATTCCTTTCAGGTATTCATGATTGGGGTGAATGAGCCAATTTATTTTGTTGTTTTTTGTTTGGTGCATTCAGTTGTGAGTTACAGGCTGTTAAAAATGGTACATTTTACAGTTTTTCTTTGGCAAAGGCGAAAATGCATGCAAAGCGGCTAAAATTGTGAATGGTGTTTATGGTTCCGATACTGTAACAGCCAATTATGTGCAATTTTGGTTGCGTAGATTCCGTTCAGGATTTTTGATGTTAAAGATGCATCTCGCACTGGTAGGCCGGTCGTCGAAAATGTCGATCTTTTTCCCCAACCTAATATAATTTGGTGCTTAAAATAAATGTCGATTATTGGGTAGCTGCAGTAACCACAGTCAAAAGTGAAAGGAAACATAAAATCTAAATACACATGGGTGTGTATATTTATTGCATTTTCCAAAATAACCACTGTACTACATTCAAAAACAGTTTCCAGCTTTTTACGTCGACATAAGAAATATTTATCAGCCTTATTCTGGATGTCAATTCCATGTGAATTTACTCGCTCCTTCCGTTCGCCTTATTCTGAACAACATTTTCCTGTGAATTTTTTCGCATTCTCGCTTTCGCCTTATTCTGAATGAAGTTCGAAAGCGAAAAAATCCGCTTTGGGGAAAAATTAGGTATTCTGAATTACAGGGAGTAGGAGAATGAGATGAAATTTTGTGCGAAATTTTTCGCTAATAAATTTAAAGTGAGTTGACTACAAAAACATCAGTAATAACTATTTTTATGAAAAATATTTACACAATACTTATTCTATGACGATTTAGAATATTATAAATGATAGTAAGCAAATATTTAACTGGAAAACAACCAATAAAATGCCATTGGAAATCCCATTGATAACGATGCATGCTGAACCAAGTATTGCCAAGAAATGTATGAAGGTAATAAGGCATATTTAAGTCGAGTTTGATTTTTGGAGACGAAATACAGACATTTTGGGTGAGGATCTGTCTCTCAAGAAAAAATTTTAAAAACCCAAATTTGCCTGATGAGCCGCTTAACAGTGAAAAATTGAAATACTAATTATGAAAGAACAAAAAAAAATTTTTTTTTCAAAAGAAAATCTATGTTATGATTTTAAAAATTTGGGGAGATAAAATATCGGAATTAAATAAAAAGGCACACAACTATGTAGTGAAATAATAAACTGTGAATTAATTAATTAAATCGCAGATTCCTTCCTATTATTCGTTGTGTTTTTGCCATCATAAAAAAATTTTATTTTATTTGTAATCTATTGTAGTTGTTGCAACAATTGCATCAAAACAATGAACAGCTGTTTCACATGCCATATTGTAGGTTGCCATATTTTCAAACTTTAATTTATTTTCTTTTAATTACAAAGCATTTATACAGCGGATTCTTGATATTTCACATTTGTATTGCTATATAGTTTAAATAACAATAAAAATTAACAATTTTTAATAACAAAAATCAATAAATAATATATTGAAAAATGTTACACAATTAAATTACAATGGGGCAACACACATTGCAACTTAAATTACAATATGGCCACACACATTGCAACTTAATTTACGATATGGCAACACGAATCTTTTTTTCAACCACCATTTTCGAAAACTCGAATCCGCATCTCACATTTTTTGCATCTCCCTATTCATTCAGAATAAGGCGAGAATGTGAAAGCGAATTTTTTTTACATGCGAGATATCTCCCTAGCAAATATCCAGAATAAGGCTGTATATGAATACGTTTAATTTTTTTTCAAACGACGGAATTTTGCTTTAGTTTTACATGGAAGGGATTATTCAGAATTTTCATTCAATTATTTTGGTATTTGCCTTCTTTTCAAAAACATATTTTATAATACAGGATAGCTTTACAACTAACTTTAATTAACAAACAAGTATACATTTTAATGTCAATGATAGGTAGTTTCTTTTCTGTGAGATTATTTTAATTATCTTTTGGTAAAATAATGGACCAGCCAAAAACTCGACGATCAAATCCACAAGAAAATAGATCACAATTTAATAGCGGTTCTTCTGCCCAAGCCACGGATGAAACCATACGTCTGTGACCCTGAAAAAAAATAAAATTTTTATTGAGAAATTCTCAATGCGCCAGCTGAAAATAAAAACTCACTTGTCGACTAGTTCGAGGCAAACGAGCAACTCTCTGTCCATTCAAATCGAATAGGCGAATTTGCCGGTTATCATGGGGAATCGCTATAATACCACCAT